TGGTGGCTGAGACGACGGAGACGGCGGAGTGAAGAACAGACGCGGCTGAGCAGTGCCACCAATACCAGCAGCTCCAGTACCTCCAGTAGCGCCAGCACCTCCAGCAGCTCCAACACCTCCAGCAGCTCCAGTACCCTCAGCAGCACCAGCACCACCAGTAGCTCCAGCACCCTCAGCAGGTCCAGCACCTCCAGCAGCTCCAGTACCTCCAGCAGCAACACCGCCAGCCCCAGCAGCTCCAGAACCCCCAGTACGAGCACCTCCGAGACCAGCGACACCAGTAGAAGAACCCCCAGCAGTAGAGCCCTGAGGTGCAGAAGTGCGACGCTGACGGCGACCGTACCAGTCGTGTAGTTGCTGGGAGGTGACTCACCCCCAGACTCAGCACCTCCAGGCTCCGCACACGCAGGCTCAGCACCCCCAGACGCAGCACCCCCAGGCTCCACACGCTCAGCGCCCCCAGACTCAGCACCCCAAAGCTCCGCACCCCCAGGGACAGCACCACTCCCAGCAGGACCGGAGTCACCAGTGACCTCAACAGGCGCAGGCGCGGGGGGGTCTACCTGAGAGACACCTGAAGGAGCAGGACCTGGCGCGGGGAGGGGGTCTACCTGGGCAGGACCTGGGGCGAGAAAGAGCGGCGGGGGGGGGGGGGAGGAGCAGTGCGGTAGGGGAAGAGGCGGTAAAAGGGGACCGACTCGTCAAAGGTGACGTCCTGAGACGCAAAGACACGGCGCGAGGCGGGGTCGTAAAAATGCCAGCCAGGCGCGTCAGGGACAAAGCCAAGGAAGACACAGGGAATGGCGCGAGGGGAGAGCTTGTCCGCGGTGGTATCGCGGACAGAGGCACGAGCACCCCAGACCCGGAAACGCGACGCGTCGCCAACATTCCCCGTCCACAGCAGTGTGGGCGAGGTCTCCGGCAAGGAGACACGGGGCCAAAGGTTGAGCTGATGCGCGGCGTACCGGACCGCAAACGGCCACAGAAAATGGGGGGCAGCCGCATGGATCATGGAGGTACGAGCAACCTCCATGACTAAGCCAATGCGGCGCTCAGCAACCCCATTCTGCTGCGGAGAGGCCGGAAGCGTGAAAGTCTGGCGGATGCCGTGCTCTGCACAGAAGGCTGCCAAGAGGTCTGAGGAGAACTCACCACCTCTGTCAGAGTGCAGACGCAGGATAGGAAAGTCCAACTGGAACCGCTCGCGGAGCTGGAGATGAGTAGCGCGGATCCAGGGGATCAAAACATCAGGGACATCCCCCTTGCGCTGCAAGGGGAAGACCGTGGTGTAACGCGTGTAGTCGTCGACAACCAGCAGGAAGTACCGCTCGTGGCCCTGTCCACGGACGCGGGCTGGGCCCCACACGTCCAGGTGGAGAGTCTGCAGTGGAGCCTCTGTGGGAGGGAACGAGGAGGAGTGAGGAGCGGCGCGCTGCCGCCCCTCGACGCAAGGAATGCAGGGCGGCGCAGGCGAGGGAGGGAGGGGAGGCAGAGACCTGGGAAGACCAGAAACCAGGAAGCGGGAGTGCATGCTGCGCAGGCGAGGCAGGGAGGGGTGACCAAGGCAGTGGTGCCACAGGAGAGTGTCGTGCGACAGCCGGCGACACTCACACTGTGTAGCTACCTGAGCAGACGCGTGCAACTGGGGAGACAAAGGGGCGGAGCGCGACGCAGTGGTGAGGGTGTACAGACTGGACCCTGGCGCACGAGCGAACGTGGCCAGGTGGGGACCAGTCTGGGAGCACGTGCAAATCGCCACACGCTGCCGGCCAGGGGTGAAGGTGTCAACCCCCGCATCCTGGAGGACAGCGTTACTCACCAAGTTCGTAGAGAACGAGGGGAGGTGGAGACCAGACAGCTCACCAGACGGGACCGCCGGACACGGAAGCACAGTGGAAGACCGTGCAAGCACTGGGCCCCCAGAGGGGTCAGCCAGTGAGACAGGAACAGGTGCAGGGAGGGGAGTGACTGTGGTATTGTCACGAAAGAAACAGCGGGAAGCACCAGATTCAAGTGTAAAGGTGTGCAAGGCCTGTGCAGGCGCAGGGCCAGGGGGGGCAGACTCACAAGCACCAAGTGCTGCAGGGGCTATACCAGGGGTTATACCAGGATCCGGCGGCACACACAAGTAGCAGTCACCCTCAGCACTAACAGACAATACATACATAGCAGCAAGAATTGCCTCACAGTCAAGATCAAAGATAGGTACATCACGCCTAAGCAAGTCTGCCCAGTTGGGGAACTCAGGAGCATCAGGAAACTTGGCGCGCCAGGCGTCGCTAAGCCGAGCGAAGCAGCGCTGCTCAGTGTGAAAACCTGTGCACTGGCGACCAGCGTGGGGACCTGTGCGGATGATATAGGGGCAGTAACCAGGACCCCCAGAAGCCCCACGCCCGGCATACCAGTCAAGAAGCTGCTGGGAAGTGGGGGTCTGGCGCTGTCGCTGATGCTGCTGCTGCTGCTGCTGTGCCTGCTGCTGGCCCTGACCACCACTGCCACCACCGCTCCCTCCTCCCCCACTGCCGCTGCTGCCCCCTCCACCGCTCCCAGTGCCTCCGCCGCCCCCACCACCACCTCCACCGCCTCCACCCCCACGACCACCCCCACCACCTCCACCTTCCCCGCCGCCTGCACCACCGCCACCTCCACCGCGACCCCCACCGCCCCTGCCACCCCTGCCGCCCCTGCCGCTGCGACGCTTCCCACTAGGAGCGGAAGCAGCTCCGACCTCCTCAGCACCAAGGTAGTCGTGAGCAGCAGCTGCGGAGGCGTAGGAGGGGGTGAGAGGGGAGGGGGAGCACCCCTCAAAGAGGGGAGAGCGAGGAGTGCCACGAGCAGCACCTACAGCGAGGATGTTCTTCTCTGCTGCGAGGAGGTGCTTCTCGAAGTCGTCGACAGTGAGAGTGGTGGGGTCTAGCGCTAGGAAGTGGTCCCTGACAGAGCTAAGAGTGTCAGGGAGGCGGGTGACGAGGAAATGGAGAGTGAAGTATATCGGGGGGGGGTTTGCGGCGCAGAACTCGGCTGAAAGGGCGGCACGAAAGCGAGAGTCAGTAGCGCGCAGGTGAGAAACTAGGTCCTCAGCAGTGGTGAACGAGGAAAGATCGGGGAACAGGTATGGTAGCATGAGTCGACCTATGGCTGCAGTGGCCGGGGAGGAGTAGCGTGCAACTACAGCGTCGTACAGTGTCTTAGCAGTTCTGTGCTGGCTGAAATGCGCTCGCTCAGTAATCGGCAGGTGGTTCCTAATAGCTAGGCGTGCAGCAGCATCACGAGTCTGCCACTGGGAGCGTTCTAGAGCAGGAGCATCAGCAGCAGGAGTAACGGCAGTGCCAGAGACGTAATCAAACAGGGAAACGCCCTCTTTGGCATCAGTCAGAAGGAACAGCTGGAGATCGTCTAACCACACAGTGAACTCGATGGGACGACCGTCAGGCTCGAACGCTAGAACGTTAGGCGTCGCCATATTGGCTTAAGGCAGGAGGCAGCAGGCAGCAGGCAGCAGGCAGAGGCAGCAGGCAGCAGACAGGAGGCAGTAGGCACCAGGTAGGAGGCAGGCAGCAGAGGCAGGAGGCAGGAGGCAGGGGAAGCAAGCAGCAGGCAGGTGGCAGCAGGCAGCAGGCAGCAGGCAGGCAGCAGACAGGCGGCAGGCAGGCGGCAGCAGGCAGCAAGCAGGCAGGCAGGCAGCAGGCAGGCAGCAGGCAGGCGGCAGCAGGCAGCAAGCAGCAGGCAGGCGGCAGCAGGCAGCAGGCAGGTAGGCAGGCAGCAGGCAGGCAGCAGGCAGCAAGCAGCAGGCAGGCGGCAGCAGGCAGGCAGGCAGCAGGCAGGCAGCAGGCAGGCGGCAGCAGGCAGCAAGCAGCAAGCAGCAGGCAGGCGGCAGCAGGTAGCAGGCAGGTAGGCAGGCAGCAGGCAGGCAGCAGGCAGCAAGTAGCAGGCAGGCGGCAGCAGGCAGCTTGTGGCGGCTTGCTGCGCGAAGCTGCAGGCTGCGCGTGGCTACGGGCAGCTCGCGCGGCCGCAGGCTGCGTGCGGCGACGGGCTGCGCGGGCTGCGGGCTGCTTGCAGCTGCGGGCTGTGCGTGGCGACAGGCAGCGTGCGCGGCTGCAAGCTGCGTGCGGCTGCGGGCTGCGCTGGGCGACGGGCCGCGCTGGCGTGGCCTAACCAGGTTGCGCGCGGGTGGCTTAAGGGGCGCACAGGCGGGGCCGAAACGGGCTGCGCGGGCTGCTGAAGCGGCGCACGTGGGAAAAAAAAAAAGGACCGCCCGAGGCTCGCGCGGGCAGCCGAGGCGCGCGCGGGCACTAGACGAGGCAGGCAGGTACGGTGGGCCCTATTCCTAGGTCCTAAGGACCTATGCTCTAGATGCCATGTTAGAATCCTAGGCAAAAGTGGTATTGAATGTCAAGAGTGTTTTTACAAAAATGAAACCTAAGGGGTTGTACCCCACAGTGAGTACCCCACTAAAGCCTATCTAAACTACATCATATAAACATATGTTTGACAGCGGGCTGCAGCAGGGCGCGACGTGCGGGGGGGGGCAGGCATTGCGAGTAGCTGCAGGGCAGCGCGACACTGTGCAAGCAGGGCCGGACAGTGCAAGGGCACTTCGGGCAGGAACAAGCGAAACTATCGGTGGGCCCTAAAATCTTAACAGGTTCCCTGCTCTGAATAACATGTCAGAATAACTGTGCAGGAATGAATGAACTATGAATGAGTTGGGTACAAGTACTAACCCTCAAGTGTTGTACCCCTTGTAGGCTAACCCACTATAGCCTAGAGAGAACACAAACATATAGTTTGACACTATAATATTGCTGAAATTACCATAACAGTCAATTGGGTTGATGTCAGCAAGCCAGTATTGCAATGGAGGGTTTGCTCCAGCTTATGTACACAGATTTAGCTACCATCAATTCTTCACAGCAAACAACATTGCAATGCCAACACCAACGCTATAGTACATGGTAATTAACGACACGTCACACAACCACTCACGCGTCTCTTAGTTCTCAACTAGTCGGTGCGGATGAAGAGTCCATTAGAGCGCTCAACGACTGAAAAACATCAGAAACGAGTGGCAAGAAAGCATAGAACTTTCAGATACCAAATCAAGAAAACGAAAGAAAATAAAAGAAGAAATGAGAAACACACAATGATAAGAAAAGCACCCACCTCCATCTCTGCATGTAATGCTCTAAGAATATCCGCCTCTGCCAGATTATCCCCGTGTGTTGCATCTTGCTCCGCCTGAGCCATTCCCCCACCCATCGCTGCATTTTCCCCTGCCTTTTGCATCCTCCACTGCATTTGATGCTCATCCACCCAGCGCCCTGCCTGACCCACCCACGACTGCGACCCGGATGTGAGGGCTTCCAAGATTGCATCTGGCCTGCGGGATTGCTGCAACCTCACCATGGAAGCCTGTTGGCCCAGTTGATGAGTCCCACCACGCGCCTCAGTCTGCTGTTGCTGCTGCTCCTGCAACGCAGGGGGGTTGCTTCTATCCACAAGATGGTCATGCCTTTTGCCATCAGACTGAAGCTGCTGATGCTCTCTCTGTACGTCAGGTCTGCTGACATCAGCAGATGCAGGCTCTGCCAGCAATAGCATTCCTCCTCCCCGTTCCCCACCAGCCCTCCCTTCAAACCCGTGATTTTCTGCTCCTGCTCCTGATCCTGCTCCTGCTCCCCCTCCTGCAGCCGGTGCTGCTGCAGACTTTTCAGCCTCCCCACCCTCTCCTCCCATGCCTCCAGCAAGCTTCTCAAGTGCTCCTGACTGCCCCAGCTGCTGGAACCAGCTCGTGTCTTCCCTCGGCCTCCACACATGCACAGAGGGCTCTGCATGGGCTGCTGCACTCTCTTGCCCTCCACCCGCCTGCCCACTCCACTGCTGTCGCAGCAGCATCTGCTGCTGTTGCTGCTGCTGAAAAGCAGCTGAGGACATCCGAAGCACAGTGGTGAACGAGCCACCCTCCCTCCCACTGTCATTGCCCCCAGGCAACGCATTGTTCAGGCCACTGCCAACATTACTACCACCGAAACCGCTACCACCATCAGCAACAGCAGCAGCATGACCAGCATCGAGGCCTGCCGATGCAGCAGCCGCCATCATGCCAGCAGCAGCCGTGGAAGAAGTGGCACCAATTTCAGCAGCAGAGGCGAACTGCGAGTCGCTGAAGGAAGAGAAGCGGTCCGTCACCTCCCCAGACTGCACAGTGGGGAACGCCGGCTCGCTCCAGGCAGGGCTCGATGAATTGGGAGCTGACACTGTAGCACCTGCAGGTGCTGCAGCGGCCGCCGCAGCTACAGTGCTCGTACAGGACAGGGTAGCTGCGTGGGGTGATGATGCATGGGGCTCGGTGGGGTGCGCGGAGGACGAGTGAGGGGCGGTGACGGAGCGAAAGTTAGAGAAGAGCGGGAGACTGGAGACAGCTGCGAAGGAAGGCTGGTGGGAAAGTTTGAGTGCTTGGGCGAGCAGCGACCCGGGCTGAAGTCCCACCTGCGACCTGCAACGGAAGGAAGGAGAGGACAAGAATATGACAGATATGAGGAAACGAAAAGGAGGGTAGGGGACGGTGGCTTGTGTAAAAGGGTGGGACTTAAGGCGCACACATGAACTCACCGCAAGTTGGCTAGCTGCATCGACATGTTTGCACTCTGCTGCTGCTGCTGTTGTTTGTGAGCATCCACGCCTTGCAGTCCCGAATCTTCCTGCTGTGCCACGTCCCCCCTCCCATCGTTCGCACACTCACGTCTCTGCTGACCCGCACCATGCTCTCTCCTGCCCACCTCCTCACCAACATTACCCCCTCCCTGCTGTCCCCCCTGCTGCAAACCCTGCTGCACTCCCTGCTGTACTTGCAACCCGTGCCCCTGCCCTTCCCCTTTGCTTGCGTGCACTTGGGAGAGCGTGAACCGCTGAGCCTCTATGTGCGCCTGCTTCAGCCACGCCATTTGCGCCTCATCCAGCTGCAGCCCGTTCAGTGGAAGACCCTGAGAAAACTCCTGAACTTGCTGCTGCTGCTGCTGCTGCTGTTGCGCCTGCTGCACAGACTGCAGTTGTGGCTGCTGCTGTTCTCTCGCCTGATTCTGAAACATGGACAGTCGAGTCTCAGCCTGCAGTTGCACTTGTGCTTGCATTTGCGCTTGCATCTGCGCCTCGTGCCGACTCTCCAACCCTTGTAAGGATCCCTGGTTGAAGCTGGACTGCGAGAATAGTTGCTTCTGATGCATCAGTGCGGCTGATTGTGCCTCCTGCAGCCGCTGTTGCTGCTGCTGCTGTTGTTGCTGCTGCTGCTGCTGCTGCTGCTGCTGCTGCTGCTGCTGCTGCTGCTGCTGCTGCTGCTGCTGCTGCTGCTGCTGCTGCTGCTGCTGCTGCTGCTGCTGCTGCTGCTGCTGCTGCTGCTGCTGCTGCTGCTGCTGCTGCTGCTGCTGCTGCTGCTGTTGCTGCTGCTGCAGCATACCGAACTGGCGCAGCGCTGCTTGCTGCTGTAACAACTGCTGCTGCACGCTCTGTTGCGAAAAGCTATGCTGCTGCTGCTGTTGCTGTTGCTGCTGCTGCTGTAGCAAGTGCTGCTGCAGTAACTGCTGCTGCAACAGCTGCTGCTGCAGCGGCTGGGAGACGTTTGGAGAACCTCCTGCTGCCGACGCCAACGCTGAGCGCAGCAGCGTCGCACGGAGGACATTCTCGGGAAGTGACGTCGCTGTTGACGATGACGGTAAAGTAGGAAACATCGGCCAACTGACGTCAGCTATGACGCCACCCCCTTTAAAAGACACCCGTGATTGGCTGTTAATGCCGATGCTGGGCGAAGTGAGAGCCTGAAAAACATCAAGATAAGTCGAGGGGGAAAACGTCAGTTATGCTTATCAAGTGATGTTCAGCCAACAGCTTTCCATGTGAGAGCCGGCACGTCATGACTAAGAATACCATCAATAGCACATAAGGAAACGACAAACGATCGCATTCATCGCAGAGACGTAGTTAAAGACCGCATTACAAAACCACGAAATGAAGAGACCGTTGAAGCCAAAAGAAGAAAAGGAACCAGCGTGTAAGGCGTACCGGCAGCACCTCAAGGGGGTTGAGCGCCGCGGCAGCAGCGTGAAGGGCTGGGGACGATCCGGCGAAACCACCCGCGACATGCGGCGATCCCGAAGAGGCATGGTGGAAGGATGACGCTTGCGCGGCTCCGGCAACAAACGAAGAACCGGCGGCTCCAGCTGCGGCTGCGTTAACATTCCTGGCTGCGTCATGAATGACGGCGTCTTTAGCGCGCTGCAGCAGCTGCGACAGACTGCGCTTGTCCTTGATGCAACGCCTAAAACGCGCGGATTGAGGGGAGCAAAAGCACGCGCAAAAAGGTAAGGAGAAGCTGTGAGGGTTGGAAATCTGGGAAATGGATAATGTTGTCCGCGATTAAGTCAAGCCCTCCAGAGACATCGAAACAAACCGCGAGTGTACTCCAGAGCTACTAGAACGATTTGTTTTCACTCTTCACCCGATACTGCAAATCCCCTAAACAAACTCGAAGAAAGCACTGGAGACGTCGCCCAACGCAAACACTAAGTGAAATAAACTCTCGCACTTTTTTAAAAGGATAAATCGGTTGCAGCAAGCCTTCTGATCGCGAATCGGCAGCAAACCGCCGATCTGAAGCGACCCCCAGTTGCGAGTCCCATGCTTCGCAACGTGCTGTAGAAGAATTAAATCCTCCTGATTAAAGAAATAGGGGATTAAGGAACGGAAGGGTATGTACTGAATCAGTAGCTTGTAACCGACATGATGAGTCTACGTGAAAATATGAACGGCATGACGGAAATTTGTGCACGAAAGCTGGTTACGAATCGCAGTACTACCTGAGGCGTCCAATTAGGTCGCGTGCGATGACCGCCTAGCATTATTATCCCGGGCTCTGCTCCCCGTTCAAGTTGAACCCCACCGGACGCCGGACTCGGCTCGTCCTCCCCGGCGTCGCCCCCGCTGCCACTACTACCCCGAAATCCATCCTCCATAGACGCGGAATTAACATGTTCGGAGCCGAAAGTGCTGGCTGTGACCGGCGACGGCGGAAGCATAAGGGGGCTGTGTGACGGTACGATCGATCCGGATGCATTGCCTTGGGACTCCATGATCACTGCTGCTGTTTCACTCGCGATAATACTGAAGTACAACGTTCGAACTTAAGTTCAGTCCAGGCCAAGGAGTCGACGTCGCTAAACTCTAGCAAAACGCGGGTACTACCAAAAGTGAGTTCGACATGATAACCATGTTTCTCAAATATGAAATGAAACGGTCGGACTATAAAAAATGGTACGACGTTTGGAAACGTCGTTTTAGTCACTACGTATCACAGGGTGTGTGAAAAACGCGACGTAAAAACGTCACATCTACCGGGATATGAGATCTTGAGATTGACATCCAATAAAGCACACAACAGCGAACGGCAAAGGCTTGAGTCGAGCTGGAGTTTCACCGAACTTCGAGGTTGAGCTTGAATAACAGTCAGTGAATCAGATCCGCGGTATACATTTACGTGGTTTAGGGGGGAGTCGAGGGAGGGTTGCATATAAAACAGGCCAAGACGAGCGATCGTCATTGGCTCTGAGCGGCTAGGCTGAGATTCAGCAAGAAGCCAGAAAAAGCAGCAAGCCGCGAGGTGAGGGAGAACAAGTTACAGCGGCAGGCGTCAAGCCATTTTGCATTTCCAAGACGGTCATTTTTTGAATGATGATGGATGGGTTTTTTTCCCATGGCCGACAGCTGGGCTTGAACGAGGCCTCGAGCAAAGGGGGCGGGGAGGAGGTGGGAGGGACTGGAAGGGACATGCGGGGCGGGTGGGAAGAAGGCCAGCTGTATGGGTTGGTTAACGAATTTGTGTACAGTGGGATGGGAAACGAACAGAAGCACACTGTATCGAGACAGGCAAACTTGTGGTTCGGGCAACTCCAACTAAGTTCGTTTCTCTTCGCTTCGATTCGAGTGGAAATTATAACTACACGTGCCGAAATATGCGGGCAGGTTGGACCCGCAAAGCCATTCTTGTCAACACTTTCACTTGGCATAACCAGTGGAACGCTTCACCGAACGGATCGGGAAACAAAGCAGGAGCACTTTTTATAAATTGCGGTACAAAACAAAGCATGAGGCCCGTCTGGGGCCCACAGCCTCCCCAGTTCCAATCTGGGGTTTCGGTCGGTTCGGATTGTTGTGGTTGAACATTCTGGCAGGGGCACACCAAAAGAACCTGAACAATCTGGCAAACCTGGAATGGAAAATCACTCACTGATGGAGAGACGAATGGTCTGGATGGCAGAAAAACCCAGCTGCATGGATTGTTGTTACCCGTAGGACCAGACGAAGCACGTCATCCAGCAGAAAGAACACAGCTCATAGGGTAGTCAACCAGCGGGCGAGCTACACGTCATCAAGTTACTCTAGTCCAGCGCGACTGCAAGTTTACAGCCATCATCTGTCCCTTCCGCTCGTCATTGCCTGTGATGAGTGTCGCCCACCAAATACAGCACACATTGCTTTGGGCAGCCGTAGAAAATTACTTCACCTGACGACCACAGAGATACAGTGAGATGCACCTGCTAATTGAAATGCGCTGCTATGCAAATACTGCAGGAACAGATGCACTATAACATATGACGCACTGCTTTTAGACATATGATACGGATACAATGAGGTGCACCTGAATTTAGCATCAGATATTTATTATATACACCAATAATGTGCACAACAGGCTTCCATATACAATATAAATAAGTCTGGGAAAATTCTCAGGGGTCCTCTATCTTTAAGTTGTCTGAATTGCATATAAATCTTCACTTGGAAAGTGTTATTCAAATGACTTGGAAAGGGTGCACCAAGGTGCACTCATCATGCCATCCCAAACCACATAAACTACACAATATTTCTAACACCAAGAATGATACGTCCCCATCAACTCCACCCAGCAAGCAGGTCCCACAGCTTTTCCTGATCCAATGCTGTTTTACTTCCAGCATAGGCAAAGCCACCCATTCCTAGCCTGCTGTCGGGCTGTATGTTGGGGACAATGTGAGAGCCCAGCTGCGAGATGAACTGGTGAGCAGCCTCAAATACGAAAAATTGCACAGCACAACCCGGGATGGCTCGAGCGAGGCAAGCAGAGACGCCTCTATAGAGGTCAGAGAACGAAGCTTCGTGGCGCAACACGTGCCATGCGCAGTGCAGGGAGTTGCGATAACGAGGGTGCGTGAGGGAGTCAGTCTGTAGGCGAGTCTTGATCGTGTCAAAAGGAAAGCCAATCTGGAAAGGAGGGGCAGAATGGAGATTCACGAGATGTTTTGATCTCTCTGTATGAATAGACTTTGCTTAAAGAAAACTATGGGGGGGTAGAGGCTCCATGCTCACATGTGCTTACCAGATAATATGCCATTCCAGCAAGGCTTCCTGCAGGCCAGATTGCCATCCACGATTGGCCGGCGTGCATGTGCGCTCCATGTGCCCCGCCAGGCACGAGGCTGGTGCCACTGAAGAGCGCGAGAGCGACATCATACGTGGCGAACAAGGCGACGTTGCCCAGCATCTCCTTGCACGCCTGCAGGACGAACCCCAGGTACAATCCCAGCACTCCCCTCGCCCGGATAACGCTGCGCGCGGCGCTGAAGATACCTATCAGCTCGCCGTGCATGTCCTTCCCCATCACCACGCCCATGGTCCCGCCTAGAGTAGGGAAATCCCCGTGCGTCTCCTTTGACGCCAAGAAACCCGGCCGACCTACGCCTATGCAGTACGCCGTAGCCGGCGTTAGCGAGAGTGATACGCATGCTCCTTCGTGTCCCATCCCTGCTACCGACCCTGCGCTAATCACGGGAGTCTTGGTATTGTTAGACGAATGCTTGGAGGAATCCAGGGGCGGGAGAGAGGGAGCGGTAGACGAATGCAGTATTTGGTGCTTCGATCGTTGCCCCCGGACCTGAATGCGGGTCTTTAGGTGGTCTAGGGGGCAGTATATAAAAGACTCTAACAGGCCGATGATGGAGCAGGCTATGATGAATAGTCCTGGTCTGCTGATGTCAGCACCTATTGCCGTTCGCAGCCAATCGCGCGAGCCGAAGAGCAGAGCCACGCCCACCGCTTCCTGCACGGGCAGGGTGCACCAGAAAACGTGTCAAATGAGAACTTTGGCTCAAAGTGGAACCGGGTTGACAAAGTGGCGGCATACAGTCCTGCATTCCGGCGACGATCGGCGAAGACAAGCATAGACGGATGGACACGAGCATAAACAAAGGCGATTTGCGGGCTTACTTGTAGCATCGGAGCCGCAATACCGCGGTAGAAGCCACCTATTCCTTCGGTTCTATACGTCGCGACCGCGCAGCTCCACGGTGAGCTGTAATGCTGAATATTCGCCGCTCGGCTTTGACCCGAGCAGCCATGGCTGTTGCTGTCGCGGTGAGCTGGAAGCAGTGGCGACTCCGCGTTATCCTGCGACTGCATTCGTGTCTTCACCGTGTCGAACGGATACCCCACGAGGACCTCTGCGACGCCTGCGATGAACCCCGCGACGATGCTGATGCGAGCATCGTCCATTGAGAGCTGAGAGCTGGATGCTGCTGGTGCTGCTACCAGCGGCGGCTATTCGGAAGTATATTTGCGCAAAACACGATCGTTAATTGAAGCTATCTAACCTATCGTTACTTCAGCCCTGAACTATTTGGTCAAATGATGCAATAACGGAGCTACCAAACTATTTTGTTCCAAAAAGGAAACAGTGCCTTCACCAGTGAGGGACAAATCTAGAAAGCGAACAGCTCTTTGACTCAAATGCGCATCTTGGCTGGAACAATGATGGATGAAGTCTGACAGGACAAGACAGTACAAGCTATGTATACTTGGGAACGGCTACTGAAGTATTTTGTATAAGCCCCCCCGATCATGACGGGCCAATGACGCGCTCCCCGAATACTCCAATGCTGGATTCCTCGCAAATACTGCTGGCCAGCGAGGACTTCGGGATGCGGGGGGGGAAGGGGAGGCGGGGGGTTAGATCATGGTTTGGGAAATGTCTCACAACTGGTTGGACAAATTTCGGTTGCTGTGGAATTTAGGAATAGGCTGGGGAGGCGAGGCGCACTCCGCGAATCCTCCCCAAGCACACCTTCCGATGTAACCGTTCGGGGGGTGCGAGCGAATGTGGGGCCTCGCAGAAATCGGAGTTTTTCGTCAGCACGTTGTTTGGTTGCCAAGCCGCTCTCCAAGCCGAGCCTTCTTGGCTTGGGGACGTGACTGTCAATCGGGGATTGAGCTAAACTAATGTCATACCCGCTGCGACCAGAATATGCTCCTAACGAGGAAATGGAATCAACAAGAAACAGTCAGTTTCCATGCTAGGAATGTTTCTACCTTCTAACTGTATGTTCCCGTGTGTTTTTTGTAGATTGATCTTCAGATTTCTACATTAACTACGTTACCATACATTCCATCTATATTCCCCAGCGATAAATACCCCTTGACTTGGAAATACTTGCTACACAACACAAGACGTGGCATGTACAGGCATACTTCTTTCATGTGTTCGGCCTAATCAGTTGGCTCATCGATTTCACTCTCATCCCCAAGAGAGGGGGTGGTGATAGCGCTTGTGCCTCGCACCAACACATCGGCCAGTCCAGCTTGGTCTCTAACCACCTGAAGAAGAGGCAAAAAACGCAAAGATGCTTCTTCATTTAGCAGTGACACATGCCATGCAGGTAAGTGACAACCGGGAAAGACAGTCAAGACATGCAAAATGCTGATGCTCACAACGTTCTCATGCTTATCTTACCAGTAGCTCATCATCAAGGTACGAGATAATCAGCTCCCTCTGATATCTGCCACCTGGAAAGGGAGGAGTATAGTAGGAAAAAGCTTGTAAACACACCATCTGGATTCCTACAACACCAGCACCACTGGCCAGAACCCCAGAGGTGTAGTCAACCACTGAATATATGGAGCAAGTGAAGAACTTACTGAGAGGGAGCTT